GGGGACCTGAAGGACATGAACATGGTCATTTCTAGCAGACTGCTGGAGACAAAGACATGGATCTCTGGAGAGGGCTTTGTCCGCCTCCCACAATGGCATGTGGGTCAGAGATGCATGGCACCCTAGGTCCAGTGGCTAGCTAAGTAAGCACAGAGAGTCAAGGGGGGTTCTGCTGAACCCAACATATGGGGCCAGAGAGCTACAGGAGAGGCCGAGGTGACACGGTATGAGATGAGGTTGTCTGTTCAAAGGTGACAGAGAGGGACAGCGAGAAGGGGATGAAAATGATGTCATAAGTAAAGCACAGTGGGATTCCACCGGGAGGGGTCAGACCCCTGTCCCTGCAGAGACTCAGAGCCACAGAGGGGCTCATGGACACTGATCTCTCCCGGGGATGGTATTTTCACTCCCCACTAAAGCAAACAGCGGAGCCAGCCCTAAGGCTGGTTCTGAAACACACACTCCCTCCTCACTGCTCTCACAGTGGTGAAACATCCGCTACGAACCCACAGGTTGGCAGTTTGAGTCCTCCCAGAGCCACTCTGAAAGAACCTGGCGATCCGCTTCTGGAAGATGGCAGCCGTGGAGCTGCACTCTGTTCTGATACACACGGTTCCCGGGAGTTGAAGTTCTGATGCCAATAGGTTTGGGGCTTTGTTATTTTGTTTTGTTTTTTTGTCTTGTACTCTTTTGGCCCAATCCAAACTACAAGATAATTCTGCTTTCTTGCCTTCTCTAACAGCCCCATTCCTATATTTCTCTCCCTGCTTCTGCTTCTGTCTTTTGTGTACCTGCCCAACGCTCTCGCCCTGCCAGCTCAGCCCCCTCTGTGCACGATTCACGGAGTCTTGTACATGTCCCCCTACACTTTCTCCCTTCTCTAGGAGACCTGTCTCCCAGAGGCATCTGGATCACCTGAACCTCGGCTCTCCCCTGAGGCCAGTGTTTCTGCTGTCCTCAGTCCATCCAGTGGAGACAGACCACCTACTTCCTAGACAGCATGGGCATGAGGAACAAGGGAGGGACATGGCTAGTATCAACATGGCTTGCTTTGCAGTGCCCGCATCTATGCTAGAACTCTGCCCCCTTCATCCAACAGCTGATTGACACCCAAGGACCAGGACCTCTGCACCCCACCTTCCTTTGCCTGTCCTTGAACCTGCATTGAAAATTAAAGCCCTGAACCAACCCTACAACTCACCTGCCCCGATTCTTTCTATAGCCAGGTGTGAGTACAGCTGCACGAACACCATAGAGTGGCGACACTAAGATTCACGGCTGATCTTAGTTAAGTCATCAGCCTAGGAGGGCAGGTCATTCCTAGCCCACATCGCCCTCCTCATGCACAGCCCTGCCTGCCTTCGGAGCACGGCTTTGCCTAGACAGTCAAGCTAGATGGACAAGCTCCAAGTCGGTCTTTTCTTCTGCCACGTCCGCCTTCAAACACTCTTCTTCGTCACTTGCCTGCTCTGTGTCGTCCTTTCTGTTCACGGCTCGTCCCTGCCACGTGTGCTTACTCTCACCGAACACTGAGAGCTTTCAAGCCCAACTGGTCCTTTCCTACATTTTAAACATCGCCCTCTCTGCTCCACCGTTAAGCTCAGTCTAAAAACATCCTCAGACAACACGTCAGTTATGGAATGAGTTGTGTCCCCTAAAAGATGTGTTGAAATCTGAATCCCTGGTACCTGTGACTGTGACCTCATGTGGGGAATGGTTTACTTTGTTTTGTCAGAAGTGATTAGTTGAATTAATAAGTCCTAGCGGAGAAGAGTGGGCCTTCATCCCTCGGAGTCTCCCATGCAAGGGAAACGGACCTGGAGACACGCAGCAGGAGATACCACGTGACACGGACCTGGAGACACACAGCAGGAGATACCACGTGACACGGACCTGGAGACACACAGCAGGAGATACCACGTGACACGGCCCTGGAGACACACAGCAGGAGATACCACGTGACACGGCCCTGGAGACACACAGCAGGAGATACCACGTGAC